ACCTTCATATCGTATATCAAATTTATTTCTAACATTTCTTGTTTTTACTAAAACTAAATCATTGATTTTTAATAATAAATCTTGTCTATGTGAATCATATCGAGCTTTATATTGTTGTTGATTTTTAATGATATTGTTCCAAGCTTCACGTACTAATTTTTCAAGATATATTCTAATTTTTTGACTCTGCTTTGGGTCTTGTATGAGCAAAATAATATTATTTTGTTGATCGAATGGAAGAGTAGCTTGCTGTCCATGCATCATTTCAAATGATGTTTGTTTTGTAGTTGCATTTATCCATATATAAAAATAAAATGTAACAATTTGTAATACTTCATCCCTGTCTGTACGTCGTTCATTACATAAAGCGGCAATTTTTCCATCCATCGTAGCATTAAATCGTTCAATTTGCCCATTAGTCTGTGGATGATATACTGTAGAATAAAGATGAGTAACTTCAAGATTTTCAAATAATTTGTTCATAACTTGAGAAGTAAAATGAGAGTGGGTGCGGGTGTGGGTGTAGGTGTGGGTGTAGGTGTGGGTGTGGGTGTGGGTGTGGGTGTGTGCTCTGGAAAAAAAGGAGTACCACAGAACCTTTTTAGGGGTTCTGCGATCGGGTACAACATAGAACCCTCACAAATGGTTCTGCAGGAAAAAAGGTTCTGGGGTCAACCTCAAAAACCATTTCATACTCCTCATTAAAAATGGCTCTGTCTGCGGAAAAGCATATCCAAACCTGCATGATTTCTCGAAAGGCTACAGCGAATTCATCGCAAACGGTTCTGTAGTCTGTTAGCGTCAATAGAGGTCCCTCTATTACCGCTAACTGTCCAGTTGTTATATGGTGATTTTCTCCTTCTTCTCTATGGTCCATATATGTATTTCCATTGGACTTTCCACTGCTTATCCAGAGATATGTTTTTCTCTGTTCAGTCTTTTCTTCTTCTACCGATGATACATATACCTGATATCCTATTCTATCGTTTTCCTACCTTTCTCTCTTTTCTATTATTATATACCTGTTATTGTTATATTAGTGTTTACACTGACGCTAATAAAACCTCTCATTATCTCCCTATTCTCCTTTTTCAACATATGAACAAACGGTAAGAATGTTTTTCTTTTATATTACGTATGACTTCTCGTTCCCGTAGCAGACCGAGATTAAATACCATTGCCATCTAGCCTAATCTTTAGTGTGGGGCAAGAGTCATAGACAGCCAGAAACGAGAAGCTTACAATTGGTGGAGAAGTTGGGCATTTTTTGTCTGCATTTGCCCGTTTCT